TAGGATATAGACAGGTGGTAGATATAGACAGGTGGTAAATATAGATAGGTATCAGTGATACACAGGTGGTAGCTAGAAGAAGGTTGTCTCTTAACCATATTCAGTTATAGTTATAGACAAGTGGTCCCCAAGTCAGGTTTGAGTAGCATTAGACAAGTAGTAGTTATAACTATAGACAAGTGGTCCTCAGGGCAGGTTTGAGTAGCATTAGACAAGTAGTAGTTATAGTAACACTGTCTCTGAAATTTTTTCTGACTGTAGTTATAGACAGGTGATCTTTAAGAAATATTTGACTGTAGGGTTGATTCTTTGTATGCTTTTGTAAAACTCCTAATTAATTCGATTTTAAATATCATTATGTGCGGTACACTGTATACAGACTGATCCAGCTGGTCGTGGCTTTCCCTACTGTGTGTGATCTGGTTGGAACTTCACTGGCAGGTAAAAACATGGGAAATAATCAGCATGTAATAACGTAATTAACAAACTTAGGTTGATTTACTCTATTCTACCATGTCAAAACTAATGTGCTTTCTTGGTTACCTCCTTTCAGATAAAGCAACATCATGTTGATATTGATTTTATTAGTACCCTATTGGTAGTTCTTGAGCTGTTTGCAGTTCATTAATCATTTTGTCACAGTCAGTCAGTCCAACACTTTGTCTGGTTGTATCTCATATACTCTGTCACCATCAATTGCCAGATTTTGTATGTTAGTACTTCTTGGGATGGGGACCATCACATACACAGAGTTATGTCCCTTTCTTCATTTTTAGCCCATTTGTTGATACTGAAGTTTGTCCAGTGGAAAAGAACTATGGATTACTTTCAATAATTTTTCTTATTAATTTTAAACCCCACTTACGCAAACAAGTACATGTACTACATAGTAATTGCTTTGTGAGTACAGGTGTGTATGCATCTGTCTGTATGTAGTAAAAGGCTTGTGTATAAAATATCTATGAACCTCTTTAGAGATGTAGTTTATTTATACACCCTATTATGGTATTTCCAAAGCTGTTTTAGTTTATGTATATGTTGTCAAAACTTTTGCTTTATTTAGTGTTGCATTGGTGTCTTTTACAGTGTTTTTTTCCAAAATCTTGATTAAGAGGTGGTAGAAAAAGAGTCGGTCATCCTGTAGGAATAATGTAGGATATGAATATTCTACCAGCGGATGCAGAATTCGGCATCAGAACCTTGGCACAGCCTCAGTTCTGACCCAAATTCTTTATCCTCGGAGGGAAAAAAACCTGTATCCCATATACCTACATTATTATTATTAGGATTTTTTATTTACTTCACGTTTCTTATCTTTATGAAACGTTGATCAGACTAGGGCTGGAGTTCTATAGCTATGTGTTGTATATGACAGGTATTGGCCTGGTGTACGTGGATGCTTCAGTTTGGCAGATGTTACGGGGCTCCATCATCATATTTGCAGGAATTTTATCCGTAAGTTTGTATAAATTTCAGAATTTGCTGGTTGTCTAAGTTACCTTATCTATCTGTTACTCTTTATATTACAACTCAGAGTATGTTGAAGTACAAAATATAAGTCAAACTGCATTAAGATATTCTGTTTGATTCTTGCATCATTATTTACAGTGTTGGGTATTTTTGAAATTTTGAAAAGCTGATCAAGTTTAAACATATCTGACCCCTGTGACCTTGAAAGTAGGTCAAGGACATTTATATGACAAGACTTCATAGCATTCCATCTTCGTGCCTACTGCTAAAATACCACAAAACTGGTGAATCATGCATTTTAATATTTTAAAAAACACTGTAAATGGTACAGCCATGCATGTTGACCTTTGACCTCAGTCAGTGTTTCACGGTTACCTTTGACCCTTTTAAATAAGCATTTTACATAATTGAATCGTGTGATCTTGAATACAGTAAAATCTTGATAAAATAGTATTTGTTTCATTTGCAGACATTGCTTTTAACTGCAAACTTTCATTTGACAAACCCCATTCTAATGCCAAAAAGTCAATAGAAAAAATCTTAAAATGGCGACAGTATAATAAGGCTTCACTGTATATTACTCTGCTGTTTGTTTTAACAAACCTTTGTTTTGATAATAATGTACATATTTCAGAGGATATTCCTGAAACGTCAGCTTGGTTGTATAAAATGGACAGGGATGTTTTTCACCATGGGGGGTTTGGTGCTCGTAGGCTGTTCGAGTATATTCAAGGCGGACAGTAGCAACCGAAATGCTGGCAACACAATTCTAGGTAACATCAAAGACATATTTTTGAAATGCGTCAATAAGAAATATATTATGATTACATGTTACTGTTCTTACATCTTGCAAGATGCATGTCTGCTAAGATACTTTATATGTTCTTTTATACCCAAGCTTTAGTGATCAATGGTTCATCCAATCAAACTATATTAGCGCATTCCTGAATTAGTTTTTTCTTTGAGCAAGTGTATTATGGAAAATGTATATAAATCAGCACACGAAAGATGTGGCAAAACGAGCTTAAACAAAAATTACACTGAAATGAGTATATTGCAAGAAATAGATTCTGATAAACCATGGTATTGTGTTATGGAGTGTTTGCATTAAAACATTTAATAGCTAAGATATTGCAGGGTCCGACTGTAACATGTCAGTATAATTGATTTCTTTGGACATGACTTTGAAAGAGGCTATAGTACCAGGTCTAGTCCATAAATTAAAATGTGTAAACTCAAATCAAAGGTTTCCATATCAGTTATTTATTTTTTGTGAATTTGGGGCCTTAAAAATGCCTCCTTCCCCTAGATAGTTTCTGCTGTAATTTCCTAAATCAATGCAAAAATCACTTTATTTTCCAAAAACCATTATGCTTTTTGTGTGTGACATTTCCCAACGTCACATGCACAGGCCCCTGTCTCTAAAATAGGTAGAGATGTACTGCATGTTGTCCCACTAGATACACTGTCTTGAACAAGAGATAAATCAATTCTGTAGGAGGGATGACTGTGACAACATTCATTGGGGGGTAACATCAAAATGGTCGTAAGCCGAAACATGTAAATGTTGGATTCAATCTGCTGATGAATCCATTTGATGTTGTTCTGGTTATTCTTCTATTGAATTTAGTACTTGTATGGCCAGACTATTGAATTCCATCCAATGGGGTACACTGAACTTCACCGAACCTTCTGCTTAGTGGACGGTGGAGCTCATTCTCCCCAGTAAACAGTGCTGAATCTTTTAACACGTTTAACACAGGTGTAATGAAGTATTATTCATGGGGATTTTCAGATCCTAGCAAATTGAATAATGCATTATTATTTTTAGGTATAATACTGATCATATCCAGTCAGATTGTCAGTGCTTCTCAGATGATTATAGAGGAAACATTCCTAAAGAAAAAAAGTCTTCATCCACTGCAGGCAAGTACCGGTACAAGACTATAAGTGTTGTTAAAAGTAAAATATGCTTGTTCACCAGTGTTTATTCCAAAGGTGAAAATGTGTCTACAATTTGTCGCACTTATTTCAGCTTTTTGATATAGTTTACGATAACTTATTGTATTGTACTCTTTGAATTGTCCTGAAAATAGTTCAGTTTGTTTGAGATTTACCGTCCTCCCAAAAGCTAGGGTCATATAAAGACAGTGGAAAAAGTTAATTAGGATACTCAGATTAAAATGAACATGGATTTTGAAAATGTTTCCGTTTGGACTATAGGTACATTTTTTCACAAAATCTTTCCATTTCCTGTACAGTCAAGCCTGAATTAAGAGACCACCCTCGGGAAGTGCAAATAGAGGTCTCTTAATACAGGTTCGGTCAGTAAAGAAATCACTGCCATGAGTAACATTAAAAGGGACCCCTCAGCACAGATGATCTCCTAATACAGGTAGTCTAGATCTCTATGAACAGGTTTGACTGTACAATAATATTGCTGAAGTTGTGCACTTATTATTTGCTTGTCAAAGTTACGTAATGTCCATTCCCCAAGATGATGACACTTACGGGCAATTTTAGCATCAAATTGAAATTCAAAACTTGGACACGCTGGCATTATATTTCGCTGTTACATCAAATTGGACTAAAGCTTTGATTAGTCAAGAGGTTTACAATATTTGAAATCATGAAATCTAGCATTCTAGTAAACACAAAATGTATGTATTTATTTTGCTTGAATGCTTAATTGTTTTATGTTTATAACAACTTTTTAAAGAAGAAAAATATGTAAAATATAATATTACTATATAATACTATTATATGTCATGTCTACCTTGAAAAAAAAGGAAAGAAAAAGGAAACCAAAGTTATTGGTGTGTTTGTAGAATTAATAATTGCTTGATACTGGAAACTTCGTACTAGATGGTTCTCTATCTTTACTATATTATACATGAACTGATATTTGGAATGATGCCCTGTACATTATATTAAAGCACAATTATATTTTTCAGGTTGTTGGACTTGAAGGCAGCTATGGTGTTATTTTCATGTCTGTGGTACGTTTGATATGTTCACATTTTACAGCTGAAAATATTCAGAGATATAACAAGATAAAAAGCACACAAAGTGTCTTAATGTTGGAAGAAATCTGAGCATATGAAGAAAACCCATATGGTTGGAATTTAGTTACCCCTTCCACGTCCTATGTGTAATCAAATCCATGCTGTTTTGGTGAGAAGCGAGTGCCCCATCTCTGCACCACCATGCCACATGTATATCAAATCTTGTTGGACTATAAACTCTTAACCCCTGAATCTTTTGTGAAGTTTCATAGATGTGTCAATAAAGATATTGAAAAAGTGTTCCATACCACATGGAGGCCTGTACCCCCAAGGTCACGGTCACAGCCAGAGGTCAATTGTCAAATCAATGCAATGCTTGCCGTAATCAGAGCTTATATATTGAACTGTTGAAGATTGTTTGATCAAAATGCACAGAAATATGTATTATGATAAGATTGTGTGCAGTGCATACCAAACCTCATGGTCAGGTCAAGAGATCAAGGGTCAAATCATAGCAATGCATGTTTGCAATGTAAATTTTGTACTTCATGACCAGATCATGGTTCTCCCAAGGTTAATTCAAATCAATAACTTTTGAATCATTTTAATTGAATATTTGACTTCCTCAAAACAATTTAATGAAGCATAATTTGTATGTGTGTCATGAAAAAAAGTGTGTCTTGGACCAAACACACATCCTTAGTCTCAAGGTCAAGGTCACAGCAGGCAGTCAGAAGGCAAAATACAAGAATGTTTGGCCGGACTTATTTTTGAATCATTAAATATTTTGTGATGAAGCTTCCTACCTAACACAGATATTTACAGTAAACCTGCACAACACAAAGTTCCAGGACAAAAATTTAACCTATCAGTCTTGTTATAAAGAAAACAATTGTGACACAGTGAGTTTGAGCTGAATTAATATGCTCCAGAGAAGAGCGATATTTGACTCATCAAACTTCAAAATAACTGACTCTGACTGTATTAAGAAAAGGGTGAAACTAAACTGTTTTGTTGTTGCAGATAGTCCTTCCAGCTATGTACTATATCCCGGGGTCAGATGTAAACAATAGCTACGAGAACAGTATGGACGCCCTGTACCAGATCGCAAATGATTCCCGGCTACTGGTGTTCTGTCTGCTGTACCTGCTCTCTATTGCTTTCTATAATTACTTTGGCCTAGCTGTCACCAAGTCTCTGACAGGTAAACTTGTGGATTAATGTAATCTTTCCCCACCTTGGGGGTGAGACAGAAAAATCTCAAACCAAGGGGTAAGATTCTTAAATGTCTAACCCGAGGCTTTGCCAAGAGCCAGACATTTAAGAATCTTACCCAGAGGGTTGAGACTTTTCTGTCTTACTTCTAAAGCGGGATATGAATATTTTTCTCTCATTAAATGCAAGTGGTAGGTTCATGAAATGCAAATATTGATTTCATAATTTCCAGTAGATCAGAGTTATCTTCCATGATCTGCTATTTTTGACGTGATGTAATTGCATTGGTTGAAGTGACGTCATGCAATTGTTACGACCGGGAAATTAATTCCCCGTCTTTACCCTAGGGTAAGATAGAGATATCTTTCCGTGACTGGAAGTGTGGTATCTCTGTCTAATAGGGGAGGATGATAAAATCTTTCCCTACCTTGAGGGTATAACATAGAAATGTCCATGTGAGGAGGACATTCTTGTCTGTCTTAATTGGGGATGCTTCTGTTAATTAAAGGTTTGACTGTCGAGGGTGGACATTTATTTTTCCTTCCCTAGATAGGGTATGATCCGTTTTCTAAACCAAACAAATAAAACAATAACACACATGTTTTGTGAAACGATGATTTTTTTTTTATCATACTGTAAATTTCACAATGGCATTGCTATTAAACTTATTTATATGTGCGAATGCATTTACAGATTGAAAAAAAAAAAAAAAAAAAATTGTCAACAACTTATTACACTTTACTTGGCATATAAACTACACAACAGTTCAAAAATATGTAAGTTCTGGTTTAAATATGTCATATATAATGTAATTTTTATGCTAGTTATCTACCTGAGATAGGGCAGTAAAATCTTCCTCGGGAGTGTGGAAATCCAATTCCAATGGGGGGGAAGTCATCACTTGTGCAGTAATTTTCTGATATCTAGGACGTCACACAAAGATGTATTAAGGTATTTCTTGTTTAGAAAACTCATCACACGTTTTACATAGTACGTTCTGGGTTCAAAAAGGTTTTTAATGGTAAAAGGTCAAGGTCACAGGACCATTATATTCTTTTGGTTTGCAGTGAGGCATTATAACTATATATGAACATGTCTGTTTCAGCTGTACATCGTACTTTGATTGACGCCTGTAGAACAATCATAGTTTGGGGAATTGATCTCTTTGTCTACTATGCATTTGATAAGGTAAGCATTGACTTTAAAATAAATTAATGTTTAAATTGTACCTTGGTGAACGTCTGATTTGAAGGCATGTAGGACGTAATAATATTGTGTTGAAAAGTATTTCCTCTTCTGGTTGATTTACACAACCTATATGAATAACAAAAGATGGCGATAAATTGAATTGCTGTGGAGACTTTTAGCTCACCTGGACACAAATGTACTGATAAGGACTTGCTAATTTGCAAGGAAAATCTTTGGCAAATGTGATTTCCATACATTATTACTATCTATGTTGAAGTAGCTTCTTCTCAATCCCAGATTCAGAAGTATTCACAAAAAAACAACCACAGGCGTTGTTTGCAAAACAAAGTGATTTATTCTAATAATGCTTTCATACACTCATACACTCCTAATGTTTTGTTTTTTTTACAGGGGTTTGGTGAACCGTTTGATAAAACCTATGGTCTGTTACAAGGTATGTGGGATGTAGTAGTTAAATCCTTACTGCACAGTCATATATATATTAGGCCTAGCTCACTCTACTGTGTTTTGAAATATAACTTGTAAGATTCTTTTGCCGATATTTCCATTGCTGTACTTGCTGATTTCTTGTCAGTCCGTTCATACTGGCGATATCTTTCTCTATTTGTATCAGTGGCACACTGTAACTGTATATCCATGATAGCTGTAGTAATTCGTAGTAAATATCTCAATTACTACCAATGTTTTTCCTCACTCCATCAGGTAAAACACCATCAAGGTATTGAATAAACCTGGAGAATCACAATATAGAGCGAAACCTCTCTTTTCATTTGCTACCTTGTTAGTCCAAAAAGAGCCCTTTTCCTTGTTTTCTTAAGAATTCCTTTATACATTTCCCACCAATATTTGTCAAACCCCTTTATAATGACAAACTTTCTCTGGACAAATAGTGGCAGTATAACAAGGTTTTACTGTAGATGATTTTATATTGGTTAATGCATCTCTTGTGATGTCACATAATAACGCTTTGCATTCTCACATTGTGACGTACATCATTCAGTGATTTCTGTTCCTATTTTAGTCTGAAAATGTGTTTCACTGATTTTGAAACCTCTAGTTATCTCCCCTCATAAATGTTTTCTTATTGCCAGCCCTATATGTTAATTCTTTAACATGCTTATCTACTCACACAGTGGATGGTTTCCTGTTCCTACTGATCGGTACAGCCTTATACAATAACCTAGTGGACCTCAGTTGGATACCCTGTCTACGCAGTTGTGTCTCACAATCGACC